TAGCAATTCTTACGCCCATGTAACCTGAACGACAATCTAAAAACTCCCAGATTTTTCTCCCTGACAGCTACCGATTTCATCAACCAGAATGAAGCCGCTTGGCCAGTGCGCCCACCTTAAGAGCAGACATGATCCTGTTAGTTAGGCTCCGTAGTGCTCAGTCTGTAGTTGGGTTGCGACACGCAACCTGTTTACTTTGATGTAGACCTCGGTCCCGATCACTAGGACTGTATCCGAAATTTCGATGTTGCTCACTCCCTTCACCGCAGCCCACGACCGGTTTCGTCCTCATTTGGATTCATCAAGCAGAGGTAGCCGGGGCTGAAAGTAGAATTCTGCACTTAGTGCTTAACGATGGACACCTTGACCAGTAGGCCATTGATATCCGAGTTCTCTGTACCGCTAAGCGAAACTTTGAATTTATGACCACTCTACCCAGCGTTACTCACGTAACTTACTTGTCAAAGTGTCAGTCGTTTACCGTTAAGTCCTGAATTCCAATCCCAGCTCCGGCGACCTCTATCTATTGAATTCAGACTAGGGCAAACAGGTCGTGGGATACTGTGTGGAGAGCAAGCACATCCGACGATCCTCCACAAACGTGGTCCTATACAACTGAGCTTATGACTCCGAGATTGAAGGAGGAACCGATAAAACTTGACAAAACATGATACCTGAATTTCCAAGCTGGCCTGCCGAACAACCTTCTCGTGGTGCCAGCTGGGCGGTCCGGGATTATCTCGGTCCAGCGAATAGTTCGGCTTCAGTGTTTCAGGACGTGGTGGGATTTCGTCTGGCAAGTGTTCTCCCTATAAAAAACCATATGTGTCCGTTTAACAACACTGCGACGTGGCGGATGTGACTCGACACTAAATAAAGTCACCTTGGTGAATCATTGTATCCCATCACCTTGCTGTTGCAATCGTGGGGAAGATTGGGCCCCTGTTCGACTGCTCACCAAACGAAAGATGTGTGAAATGAGCAATCAGTCATTGGCTCCCAATGGGTACGAATCCCTGACTTCGCTCCGCTGCGTTGCGCGTAGGCTATTGAGCCAAAAGCTGGGGGTGGAGTCACCTAAGACAACTCCCTACTTCGGCTTGGGCAACCGGGTAGTATCGTGCCCACTGTGAAAACCATGGATTTCGCAATTACTACTGCGTCGCTTACTTCTGCTGCTACTTGTGTTTCTTCATTACACGCCAACTTTTCTCTTGTTGATAATCTACAACCTGTTGAATCTACTTTCAATGTTCGTCTCGCTGATCTCCAAATCATCCGGCCATCAACTATCCTTCGACCCCGTACTTCATTCCATCTGGCACCGTTCAATGTTCGGACTCTTTTACAGATTGGACAACAGGCTGGCCTAGCGCGCACTCTGAAGTCCCTCGCCATCGATGTTTGTTGCCTTTCAGAGACTCGATTGCAGGATCCCAGCACCGTGGCTAAATTGTCGTTCTCAGCTGCTCTTGAGACCACATATTACCCACGTCTGTCCAGTGACATGGAGGCAGCAGCAGCAGCCGGCTTAGCTGGTGTCTGTATCGCATTGAGTGACAAAGCGGAGGCTGCATTACTCGACTGGTTTCCAATCGACAGCCGGCTGTGTGCGGTTCAGCTTCAAGGATCATGTAGAACCGACAGACATTGTGAAGAAATGCGCAACTTGTTTGTCGTTTCTGCCTACGCTCCAACCGACCGCAGCTGTGCATCGGTTAAGGATGACTTTTATCGTGGTCTCCACAACAAGGCCGAAAAGTCAGATGTCATGGTACCTGCCGGAGATCTCAATGCATGAGTAGGCCGCCTGCTTTCGTGCGAACGTCATTTTGGTGTCGCTTGATGAGTGCCGTTCTGACAACGGTGACACGTTATGCGAAGATCACTATCTCTTTCTCTTGAGTACGAACTTTAGGCATACCAGAAGACGCGCAGCCACTTGGCATCCTCCTTCACCGACGCAAGCATGATCACAAATAGATCACATTGCAATCAGCTCTAGATGGCGAGGCAGCGCCCGGGGTTCTGGATCGATTTGGTCTATGTACCTCGATTCAGATCATGCTTTGGTCTGCGCGGACATCTGCATGCGCTTCGGCGGCTCCTCAAAATGAAAGCTCTATACGCTGGACACCAATAAGTTAGCTGACCTCTCTACTCGATCAACTTATCAAGTTTCCTTATCGCATGCATTCAATTGTGCTCCACCTCGAGACATCGAAAATCATTGGAGTTTCTTGCGTGTGTGATGCTTACTTCCAGTTATTCAATCTGCAGAATCACAAGGGGCCCTCTAAGGGGCTGGATTTCCGCATACTCACTGGAATTGTTTGATCGTCGCATAGGTATCCCGACGGATTCAAATAGCAGTGCATTGTGTCGCATTCTCAGTCAACAATTTAAGCAAAGCCTGCGTGCTGATCACAAAACTTGGTGGTCCCAACGCGTCTCATCGATGGAAACGGCAGCCCTCTCTGGAAACTTTCGCAAGCTCTCTCAGGTCATTCGGGCCACTGGTCACAAAAGACTTGGTGTCAATGAGGCCATTTGCGAGGTTGACGGAACGCCGATAAGCAACTTACACAGGCGTATGGACCGCTGGGGTGAACACTTCCGCACTCAATTCAGCTGGCCTCCTCCGCCGGCGAGCCTACTGAGTATACCTAGTTGCGCTCTTTGCAACGTCTCATGGGAATTACCCACTGAAGCTGAGGTCTGCCTTGAGCTCCGACACTTGATGCGACTCAAGTCTGCTGGCGCAGACGGACTTCCCCCAGAGCTGTTCAAGTTCTGGGGCGAAGTAATTATCAACCAGCTAACAGCTCTGTTCTCTAAGATCTGGTGTGAAGGAACAGTTCCATCCGTTTGGGGCGAGTCAATCATCGTCCTGATCTTCAAGAAATGTGCCCGTACCCTATGCGCTAACCATCGAGGAATCAGTCTAATGTCCGTTGCCTCCAAGCTGTTAACATCCATTCTACTCCGCAGACTGACCCCGATTCGAGAATTGCGCTCCCGTGAAGAACAGGCTGATTTCCGCCCCGGTCAAGGGTGTATATACCACTTGTTTACGCTCCGACAACTTCTTGAAACGCGTCATCTGTACCGCCAGCCACTATCGTTGATTTTCTGGACATCCGAGTCGCTTTCCACTCTGTCGATCGGCCAGCTTTATGACATTCCTTACAAAGGAATGGAGTATCCGAAAAGTATTTCGCCATCCTTCGAGCATTATAGTGCAATGTCTCAGGTAAAGTGAGGGCTTATGGTAAGCTCTCTTCAACTTTTGCCGTCACTAGCGGTGTACGACACGGTTGCCCAATGTCCCCGTTTCTCTTCAATTTTACCATCGAGGATATCCTTTTAAACGCTCTCGAGCGCTTCCAGGGTTCTGGTGTGGAGCATCTTCCTGGCAACCGCGTGACCGATTTAGATTATGCTGATGATATTGCCTTGCTTAGTGATTATGCACAGAGCACACAGGTTGGCGATTAGCGATGGAAGCGGCAAAATATGGCATGACCTTTGCCCCCTACGAAATGCAAAGTTCCGATCCTGGATTGGCATCCACCTGCACCAGTGCTCACTCTTCAATGTACGCAGCTTGAACAAGGGGACAACTTTGTTTACCTGGGAAGCTGTGCTTCTGCTAATTGTAACATTGGCAAAGGGATTTCCCTCCTTATTGCCAAAGCCCGTTCGGCATTCGTCAACTTGTGGCATCTGTGGCAACGCCGTGACATTTCACTATTGGTAAATGGCAGGGTCTACAATGCCTATGTTCGCGCCGGGCTGCTGTATGGGAGTGAGTCCTAGCCGATTCGTGTGAATAACTTGCGTCGGATTTCGGCCTTTGACAATGGATGTCTGCGGAGAAAAGCTCGAGTGTGGTGGATGAACCACGTGCGCAACGATGATGTTAGACCTCGCGTCTTGGGTAACACGGCACTTCCACCTGACAGACTGGTACCGCTGCGCCAACTGAGATGGCTGGGCCACGTTTTACGCATGCCAAGCGAACGGCTGCCCTGACGCGCTGTCTTCGCTCGCACAGGACCAGGCTGGAAGAAGTCGTTTGGTGGTCAGTCTATCACGTGGCGACAAACGATTAAAGCGCTGCCTTTCAGTTTAGCTGTCGTAGATCCCGTGCGTCATCCTGGCTGAAGGATCAACGCTGAAGTACACCGCTGGTTGGAAACTTTCGGAGATGGCACAGAACCGGGCCCAATGGAAAATGTGCATAAATGTTTGTCTTGCTTTTATTTACATCGCAAACATTAAACGGACAGAAAAATGATAAAACGAAGTATGAGAAAATACAAAAAAGGAAAGATAAGATTCAAAAACCGAAATCTTTTGTAACTTCATTCTTCTTTGTAGTCTCAGTATTTATTACTTCCGTTTCATGGTTTTCGCCGGCCCTATGTCTATCTTATAAACTGCTATATATATATATATATACATATATATATATATATATATATATATATATATATATATATACACCTGGATTTCCATATTGCCTTATCTGACCGCTGTCCAGTTTTTCTTTTGATTTTCAACCCACATATGTCGTACTCCGCTGTTTGTACGGCGGAGCTCCAACAACATTGATTTCAATGGCTCTTATCGTACTCTGTGCTCCAGAAACCAATGGGGATATGATAAGCGATTTTACCCGATACCGAGGCAGAGGAACGAAAGAATCAAGCAAATATTTTGGAATGGTATAAACTTACCCTTTCTTGAGGCCATGGTTAGTTTTCCTAGGAATCACTTCAATACTATATTGGGCACAAAGTTGGGTTAGGAACCCATTCGCCACCCATTCTTCCTTTAGTTCCGTTCGCTATCACCTTTACTGTACCTGTAACCTTGGAACCGATTTGACGCCTTGTTCTTTGCCGCATATTTTCCGTTTTACTTCGTCATTCAACTTTGATTCCACCGTATGACCACCCTTAGCTTGTCCTATGCTCGCATTGTGCGTACGTGTGTGTGTCTTGTATTTCTTCTTATACATTCCCTTTCCAACTTACCCATCCGACCCAGATATGCGAGCGTTGTATTTCGATGTGCTAGAGCAGCCTGGTCCTCATGCCATTGGTCGCGCGCGACTCGACCGGATCGAACGGCTCCTTCCTGAACATCCCATTGACAGGTAAGCCCGTTGTACCTTATTTCTACTGTTTTGTATCACACACACGATGGTATGACGCTGCGGACTTTGATGTTGTTACTACAACCCACAGCTTTTGATTTTACATGTTCAGTTGCCAGCTGCTCCACTTCTGCTTGACAACGCATTTGTGACACTGTTATATTTTCGAACTGCATTCACTTTTCGCCATCTTCTACGGGATAACTAGAATAGCCCACTGATATTGTGCAAGCTCTGGTGAAATGGATCTACCAATAAGCTACCTTTTTAAGTCGGATTATACAAAAATCCAAAGTGCTCCCGGGGCTCCGATGGGCTTGATGCCGAGACGCTGGCCATGGTGGATGCATTCGACCGATGTGCTAAGTAACTATCTTTAGTGTAGCGTCGCTCAGTGTCCACTGCTATGCATATTTTTATAAGGTTTGACTGTAACGGAACCCACTCCGAACGGGAATCAACAACATCACCGCTTTGGACGAGCTGTATTGGAAAACTGACAAAGCTGAGCAATCTGGGTGCATAAAGACCTGGTCATGAATGGTGTGCGGTCTAACTCCGAAAGACTGTCACGCGTGTGTGCAACACAATCACGTGACGGGACAGTCACGAATGTCAAAGTATCTGGCTATGAGCAACTGTCAAGCGCGAGCCTGTCTAACACCATCTTTTATAAACTGAACTGAATAACACGTTACGTTTGATTCGTATGCTTTACGTCTTGGGTTAGCTTCTAGTCTCTGCACTGGGGCTCTGGTTCGCGTTGAGTATCTTCGATCTGTTGTTATGTTTTCCATTTGGACGGCAGGCTCTTTCAACTGGGTAATTTGATACGTATCTAGCAAGATATCCAACGGTAGTGAAGCTCCCTGTTTTTGGGGCTTCCCTTGCACTTCAAAACGGGGTCTAGTATGGTTTACATATCTAGTCCATATGATGGAATCCACGTGTATTGTGTACAAAACACTTGAAATCTTTTCAACGACATGGCCAGGAAGTCAGGATGATCTTCCGTCACGGAAATTCTTTACGTACACACTATCACCAGGCACAAACTGCAGTGGGCGTGCTCAATGATGGTGATTAAAAGGCAACTCCATTTGAACATTGCGCTCTCCCTTGTGTAGCGATGGCTTCAAAGCATCAAGAACAATTCTGACACGCCTACCGAGAAACGCTTCGGATGCAGATACGTTTTAGGGTACTGCTGGACCTGGCCAATGGAATGTGCAAAAAATTGTCGATGATTTCCTGGATATTCCCCTCTCCTTCCATTTTAATCAATGCCCGCTGAAACGTATCGACAAAAGGTTCAGCCTGTCAGTTTGACTGTGGATTGCGTATGTGTTCGATGCCATGTGAGTTGCAAAAGTCCGCAAATTCGTGAGAATTGGGAACCATTGTCCGAAACAATTGTTTCGGGAACACCGAATTCTGAGATAAGATGGCGTAGATGTAATTAAACAGCGGAAGTGGTTGCGTATCTCATTTACACAATTTTGGGCCACTTTGAGTAAGCATCGACAATTACCAGATAATGGAAACGCTCCAAGGATCCGTCAAAATCAATATGAATGCGAGACCATGGTCCACTTGGAGTCTGCTAAGAATGAAGCTCACATTTGACAGGTAATTTTGCTGCCATAGCGCAGCTGTTACAGGAAGGAACCACATTTTCAATATCTTGTTCCATGAATGGCTAGTATGCATAGTTGCGGGCTATGGATTTCATACGACTGATTCCCTGGTGACCTTCGTGGAACTGACCGAGAACCTACTTCTGTAGAATCTTAGGAATCACAACTCGGTCAGCTAACATCAAGCAACCGTTAATGGTGGTTAAGGCGAACTTCCTTTTACGAAACTGCAAAGGTTTATGGTCTGTGTACAATGTAAATTTCGTTCATGTATCATCTTATGAAATTCCTTAACCACAAAGACGAGAGCTAGTCCTTCTTTCTCTGTCTAAATGTAGTTCTTTTCTGCTACTGTCAACGCGCGCGAAACATGCAGCACAGCCTTTTGATGTCCATTTGGGAACTAATGCAGCAAGACACCACCGATACCCTTTATGCGATGCATCAGCAGCGACAATTATTGTTAATCCTGGGTCGTAATGAGTTAAAAGGAGATCGGAGGACAATATTTGTTTAATGTCACCAAAGTTTTCTGGCACTGCGATGACCAATGCCACAGTGACTCGTTCGCCAAAAGTGCATTTATTGGGACCCGGAGTTCGTGCATCTGAGGGACAAAATTGTGCGAATAGTTAACTAGACCCAAGAAAGCCTTCACAGTGGCTTTGTCCGTGGGGTGGGACATTAACTTGATGGCTTTTATTTTGTTCGGGTCTTCCCGAGGACCGGAACTGTTGATAACGGAGGCAAGGTATGTGATACTGGGCATCATGAGCTCGCACTTCGCTGGACGTACACGAAATCCATATGAATCTATCCCGGTGAATACTTCGTTCAGGTGGGTGTAATGATCTTCATTATTATGTCATCCAAATAAGCTATGGCACACCGTAATCCGGATAGTATAGCGTCCGTCACTTGTTGAAATATCGTTGGGGCACATTTTACTCCGAAACGTAACCGATTGTAACGATACAAGTCTCCATGAGTGTTAATAGTGAGCAGTTCTTTTGAGTACCCCTCGACCACTACTTACGAGTATGCGGCAGAAAGATCAGTGTTATAAAAGATCTTTCCTTCATTAAGCTTTGAGAATAAAGCCTCCGGAACAGGTAAGGCCTATTGATGCGTTTCCGATGCGTTATTTAATCCTGTAGAAAAATGAGCACCAATACGCAAACTGCCGTTAGTCTTTCTGATGACTACGATAGGAGCGGCCCACGCTGAGTCACTCACAGAACTGATGACGCCCATGGACTCCAGTCAACTAACTTCAACATCTACTGTCTCAACAGCAGCGTATGGTACTGGTCTCTTGGAACAAAATGCTGGACGTACACCGGTACGCGGATACAACACAACTTTTATCTTAGAAAACATTCCAAGACCCTCTGAAAAAAGCATTGGGGTACTTAGAGGCAAATTGTGATAAAGCTTCTGCACTGTCTTTCAACGTTAGGGTGCAAGCGAACACTGAAAATCGATGGGACAGTTAAAAACTCTCTGGGTTATCACAAATACTGTTCAGAGTTAGGTTCCATAAATTAAGTTTGTCTATCTAATCAATGCCCAACAAGTTCAAATGTCCATAACGTGTAACCTAACAAACACCATTAGTATGCAAATTGCGAAGTGCAAACTCGCAGTTGAACTGTCCAAGAAAGGGCAATTCCGAGCCCGACTCGTCGTGAGCGACGCGTGATTTTTGTTCACATGTGAGTTTACCAAGCTTGTTCATGTCCACTCAGAGAGTATGGCAATATCGGAAGTCATGTCCAGTTGAAGCCTAACAAAAACACCGTTTATCACAATCGTAACATAGTTCCGCAGTGACTGCTAGTTCGGGCTAGTGGTTGTGAACACCACATTTGAAACGCAACGTTGACAAGTTGGCATTTTGGCGAAGGTTCGTGACGGTCTTCTAGAGGCTCCTTGCAAACATCTTTTTTCCTTACGTCCCATATTTCCACAACACCTGCAAATATATCGCCTGAATTCACAAAATCGAGCGTAATGCCACTGACCACAATGCCAACAAGCTCTAGGCGGACGGCCTCGACGTTCGAAGTCGGAGACGTACTGAATTGTGCGATGGCCTGGGGCGTGTAGGAACAGTATGAACATCCACCACACAAGACTCGTTGTGCCGTTGGATCATTTCTGTATCATGCTTCAGTGTCAACATAGGTTCACATTCCTGTACCAGCTCCTGTGGTGAGACTTCTGGATTAGACTCCAACCGAGATAGCAAACATGTTCGAATCTCCGCATTTTTTAGAGAACGTAATCCACAAACAAAAGTGAGCGCTTTAAACTGATCACTTGCGAGTGTGCTAAGCTGAAAACGTTTACGTTCCATGGTAACAACAGCTTCACAACTCGCAGAATCAACCTGATGGTGTTGAACAACTTGAAAACATCGGAAAGTGGGTTGAAAGTGAAGTTTTAGGGCCGAAAATTCTGATCGTGTTTCACAGTGTCGTCCAGTGATATATCGTATGGGTTCTTGGGTAGAATGTACTTAGAGTACTTTCTACACTCTTGTGGACCCAATTTCCTCAAAAGAAGACGCACCGGAGCTGCACCGTTTATCTCACGGCCATCAATTTTTAAAAAGTCTTCATAGCGACGAAATCATGCTTTGAAAGTGAGATCATCATCCAGCTGGTAATGAAATTCTGCTATACTGTGCACCTGCTTGTCTGCAGTGTAAACCGTTGAATCCGTAGATGCTGACTCTAACGACATTCATGTTGTCAGTGTCTCAAGTAAGCGATGCTGTGACCCCTCAAACTGTGCTTGCTGTCTGGACAACATTTCTTGGGTAAATTGCAAAGAGGCCGTCACGGCCCGCAAACTGGAATGCCGTCGCCAGTCTATTATAACGTCTGACTGTAACAGAACCCACTACGAACAGGAAGCAAGAGCGCTATCGCTCTGGACGAGCTGTATTGAAAATCTGACGAAGGTGGGCAACTTAGATGCATAAAGATCAACAGATCAATAAGCCAACCACATGAAAGGACATGGTCATGAATGGTGAGCGGTCTAACTGAACGACCGTCGCGCGTGTGTGCAACACAATCACGTGACGGGACAGTCACAAATGTCAAACTATTTAGCTGTGTGCGACTTCCAAACGCGAGCCCGTCTAACAGTCCTTTTTCTCATAACACGAGGTCGGTGTCGCGTCATTCGATCATTAAGGACCAGCGGTTCATTCGGTAGAGGATAGTCATTAAGAATTACAACGCTTTTGATTCAGAATGCAATTCCTCCTTTTGGCACTGTTACAGGAACGACGATGAGCTCACCGTAGCTTACCCGAACTTGAAACAATCAGCCGAACGCATTGATGAACATCTGCGACTATGCCCAATGACCGGATCTGCCAGGTTTGCCTGCCTCGTTCATTGGGTCCGTTGGTTCACCCTGACTAAGCCGTCCCGACACAGTTCGCCCACGGGGCAACAGTTTTTCAAACTTAAATCACCAGTCGACCCTCGCACTATGAATATTACTCGTGAGTTGTTTACTATTCAATAAGGAATATTGGAGATTCGAAGACTATAGTGCGTTGCAGGTAGCACTCAAACACTACTTTTCCGTGCCTGTTTAATGTACGTGTTACTTTCACATGAACAAGTTGTCTTTAAGGCACGAAAAGCCTGGAAAAAAGGGAGGGAATTTCTTCCTTCTCCATTCCAGTGGACTTGTTACTACCTGACACTGGCCGTTTCCCTACATGCGATAAAACACTGCGCACGGTCGAAGGTGTTCTTACAAGTACAGTTACAAACACCAACGAACACTTTCGTCCGTACTATGTCGCTTAGCCCCCAGTCGATGCAACCGCGAACCTAGTTTGTTTTCAGTCCCGTGTGTACGCTCTCTCCACTACTGATTACCCCACTTTCTGAGACAGACCTGACAGGCCTCAGCACCGTCGCTCGACGCTTGCATCAAGCATTCTAGCACATATTCGTTTGTTTTCGTTAAGTTTAATGTATGCCGTCAATAGTATTTTTCAAGTTTCATTCGCCTATTACACACATGTCCCACAGCATTTTGACCGTGCTGGATGACGTCGGGGAGAAGATTGGGGAACTAACGGTTTCACTGTCGATCGAAGAGCTTCTAAGTAAGTACTTTCTTCCTGGCTGCATATTTTGAGATGAGGGTTGCGTGACACGTCCTCTCACTCACTATATATATATATATATATATATATATATATATATATATATATATATATATATATATATATATATATATATATATTGTCTACCTCCAATTACATGCTTCTTTGTAGACTTAGCCATACAGCCTTCACCCATCCAGGAAAGTTCTAGACGGCCGTTTCGCCCTGCCGGATTCGAACCCATGACCTTACTTTTACGAGCCAGCGACTTATGCCACTGGGCCATCTGTGATGACGGCGGATCGTCATGACTAATATCCAGTTGCATTATAGCGTGGCTCATCTTTTATGACACAAAACAAATCCCCCTGCTATTCACTAATATGCAGTGCTCGTCTTAACAGCTTTCATGCCACCTCAATTTGTGGCAGCTTGCAAAGGGGTTCGTAGCTCTGGGTTCCATTCTTGTCCTCCACTCGTTCATTACTTACATGACAGCGGAGGATGAAATGCGCTATAACACACTTCGATATCAGTCATGGCGGTCCGCTGTTGTCACCCATGACGTTCGGAGCAGCGGATCAACAAGTGGAGGCACTGTGGCCCTTTATTACAAAACCTATATCCGACGTGAGTCCATGGATGCTCCAAGCAGTTAAGTCACGGCTTCACTTTGGTGTCGGCAACTCTTGAGGAGTCATGGCATGTTACAGGACGGTGGTGGTCACACTTCTTAGGCAGAATCGATTCTGCAGTCGATTCCACGCTCTGATTTTCCAGCATCCGAAAGTAAGCATCTCGAGGGCAATTCTCAGATCGTCGTTGCTGACTTCCAGTGTGCAACCACTAAGCATATTGTTAGTGACTCAATACCGAAGCGTACCGGTAACTTGCCCAATGAACTGCCCTTGAACGTGGATGTTCGAGGATTTCTTTCTGACGCAATCGAATTCGAGTCCCCGTACTGCAAATTTCGGTACCCAGCTTGCCCCTACTCTCTGTGTTTTTAAACCATCTGGCGAGCCTCAGCACCGCACATTTTATATTCTTCGCGGATTATTTCGAGTAATAGATGGTGATTGAGGGGTCTTGCGACATCATGGTACCCCGACGCAGCCTTACTGAGAATTCTAATTAGCTAGCCCAAAATAAACCACCATCCAAAGTGAGCAGGAGCAGAGTCCTTTAAGTACTCCGTAGACGCCCCTAACCCTGTACCTTTGGAGAACACAGTTGGGTTATTCCTCCACACAGACGTAACCTCGGTGTGTTCGTAATGGAGGACCTCGGTCACCTCAGATGGTCTGGGTGGAAGTCTAGAAAGAGTAATCAATGCTGTAAGATTTAGCCTAGCCTATCCTCAGACAGATTCCTAATGCTTACATGCACCCTTAGGCCGAGTACGTTGCTAGACGTAGTAGCTTTGACAAAAGTTAGGTCTCCTTGCAATTTTTTGTTTCCAATGGACGTGGTTATAGCATACTGGTGAGTGACCGTAGTTACCTATGCCACTATCTTCTAAACTGAACTGAGCCACCAGACTGAAAGGTCTTTCATTGGAATTAACTGTACCTTACAGCCATGAAGTGCCATCGAACTTGGATTTTCTTTTGATTTAGCCAGCCCTGTCCCAATTTCGGTCGTTTCTGCTCTCACCTTGCTAGCTTCAAAAGGGGAATAGAAGTTCCGCATAGTTGGTTGCATTTTATTGCTTAACTTGCCCCATTTGCCCTGGGTTTTTGCTAATTGTCAGGAACATCGTCCGATATATTCACCCGATCACTGCAAGCAAGTATTATTGTCTTCCCTATAATAAAGTGTATTTTAACAACCTTTGAGACTGCCTCGTATATTTCGATGCATATCTTAGTCTGGTCATTCATGTAAAATATATGAAACATACTCTCACCGACTCATTACATATAGCTATCATTGTTCAGTAAATTGATAAATTGGTGCATTATTTGTTTTAAGAGTGCTTGCCTCATGTTTGGCTTGCTATGGTTTGCTTTGAAGTAGCCTTCGGGCATTTTGATGCCCAGGGATATAATCCCCTACAAGTGGGATACGTTGGGATGGCATATTTATTTGTACATTTTAGGGGATTGGTTAGATGAGATCTGTTCACTTGTTTCCCGGTCCATGACATTAATGTAGAATTATGGTAACGAAAGTAGGTAGCAATTCGTGACATCTAGACTCACTCAGACAGCCGTCACACGCCCGGAAAAGCACTGTTCGCGCGTTTCATCCTTTCGGAAATTGCCAGCAGTACGCATTCCATCGGACCATGTTATGGCTCGAACCTGCAACTCGACTGTTGCCAGTCCGTGGTCGAGACCACTGAGCTACGGGGGACAGCAACGACCATCGTTAATAAGTTACTATACCATTTCCCGGCCAAGTTGTCCTCTTGGGCAACAGAAATAATCTGAAGGGGCATTCAACATGAGTCTTCTCAATTAATTTTTTCCTTGCGCATGCCAGTCACTTGTGCAGGTGTGTAGGTGTACGTGTATAGCCCGTTGCCTTCAGCCAATTGGACCTCAGACGCACTAAGTCATAGGGGTGCAGGTGGGAGGCTTCAGCTCCTACACACGGAACAAATTAATTGAGTAGACTCATGTTGAATGCCCCTCAGATTATTTCTGTTGCCCAAGAGGACAACTTGGCCGGGAAATGGTGTAGATGTGATATAGCGCCGCTCACTATCCACTGACTTACACGTTACTGTCGTGCAGAGGACATGGTAGCACCCCTTACCAAGCGACGAGCTACCCTGTCCTCTGCATGACATTAACATGTAAATCAGTGGATAGTGAGCGGCGTTATATCACATCCAGTAACTTATTCACGATGGTCGTTGCCGTCCCCCGTAGCTCAGTAGTCTCAACCACGGACTGGCAGCAGTCGAGTTACCGGTTCGAGCCCTACCAGGGTCCGATGGAATGCGCACTGCTGATGATTCCCGAAAGGATGAAGCGCACGTACGGTGCTTCTCCGGGCGTGTGACGGCTGTTTGAGTGAGTCTACATTTGACCAGTTTCTACCTATACCATTCAACTCCCCCTACTACTCCTAGGTAACAAAAGTGTTTGATTTCCCAGTTAGAGAATTACCTTGCTTCCGGTTCGTCTGCTTTCACATTCTTCTATAACGCTAGAGGATTCTTCGGGCTCCTACTCTGTGGCTTTCTCAGCGTGTTCCATGAATCCTGTTTCTGCCTGATGGGAGCAATGCCTGAGTCGTCAGCACTTACATTCGTTTCACACTGCTTATGTCTTCTCACTTGAAACCGGAATTCTTTTTGACTACTTTTGTAAGTATAAGTAAGATTGATCAACTGGGTGTTTTGTCGGTCCTCGGGACCGCTGCCACCTAGTAATGATAGCAAGAGTACGAACGATCATGATCAGACTCCGAGTTCCTTTAATGGGAAACGGCAATGTTTAAATAGTGTGACACGTATCCGTGGAAACCAACCAGAGTGCTGAAAGGCAGACAATGCCAATAAGGACCGGGAAAACAAACATGCAATCAAATGCACACAACGAGAAGAAAAAGAGAGCCTTGCGTCAGACTGGAACTATTGCCTGTGGGCAAAACGACTCTGAACTGGCACTGGGACTAGGGAATAACACGATAAAACTAGCTTCAAGGAATGAACGCAACAAAGCGAAAGTTGGCTTTTGTTCTACCCGAGGATGCGTTTCTGTCATTAGGTATCAATGAAACCATTTTACAGCGAACCAAGTAGACATCAGGTACAAAGTTTAGGTAGAGTTTGGTATTTCTTCACCAACATGGAAAATACTTGAGTGATAGTCCTGTCTCTGGTGGTGTGTTACAGCCGTTTTGGTGAGTAGCATCCTGAAACGGGACGCTTATCAGTAATAGCTTTGCTTGTTCGGCCTAGATCTCGTCCACTGCATTATTGGCGAATTTCGCAGAAGATAGCCCGCCAATGAATACTCAATATTTCTGAGCGCTCATTATCCCATGGAAAGGGTAAATAGCTCAGAAAGCACTGAAAAGCTACTACATCTTTTCTGCATTGTCAGCAACACCTGTTCCCGCTTAACCCAGTGAATGCTGGGTTGCGTTATACCGTTGCCCGGTTGCCGCTATGTTCAGTTTCGCTGGAGATCCCAGTTTCTGTCTATACAGATTAGAACCTCGGAATGTAAGCTCATCTGGTCGGAAATCTCGCGCTTCCGACAAATCCTACGAGGCCGAAGGGATCGTCTAGCGATTTTCCGAGTGTCTCGAGGTTGACTTTGTTTTATCACATCCCACTAACTCCCTTTTAGTGCCTTTTTATATGCATGCCCAATCGCGTAGTGCCAATCTAAGCGAAATCAAGTGCTTTTGGGGGTAGGTAGTGCCAACACAATGCAAGAGACGCTAGTAGCAAAGGCAGTGAATCGAATTAATCACTGTGTAATCCAAGTCGACCGCCGTACAACGCTTCTCTGAGTTTTTGGTAACTGTCTAAACGCACCAGAATGCTGCATCTCATATGGCTTTCTGGTTTTATTGCCCTTATGTAACGAGGAAACTTTCTGTGATTCACTGCCCGTTACATCAACTTGCATGCCAAGCAACATCAGTCGCTTGATTGACTTTGTTACTTTCTCTTGGTGTACTTTTTAATTGATGTACCATGCTATGTCACATACCTGCAGATGGCTCGGTAAAAGACGGCAACCACTGTGACCACTCTGTTCCAGTAGCTGTCATAGGAACTGGAAGCCAGCAAGTGGGACCTATTGATCAAAACCCGGACTACGTTGCGCAATTGCCGACGGTTCATTCACGTCAGCTTGACAATATTGCTGTATCACGAACACGACCAAACCCATCTGAAAGCCAGTTGTCAGACCCAGAAGGAACGAATCTCAGAGAGGTAAGTTTAGTTTCATTCGTTTCAAGAAGCAGTTTCACGGGGTCCTCATAATTAATGCCTTCCTCCTTTTCTTCCGTTGACTGATTTTAACTTTTACCTTTATCCATGTCCAACATTTCATGCTCAAGAACTGCCACTATTGTTCGAAATCACGCTTGGATGAAGATATAGATCCGTTTTATGTGAAGGGTGCACCATGTGCGCCAAACGCATTTGGGGAACATGCGCTTGACCTGCGCTCCAGTGTCTCGTCAGAGGTTAGCAATGACGATAAGCTTGAGAAACGCTGTCCAGCCGTGCCGGAATCGGCGAATGATCATTGCTCTGCATTCGAAAACGCCCGTCATGTGAACGTCGCACAGGGAAAAGATGCAGGGGATTATCCAGCCTCTGAGGAACAGACCCGATGTCCAAATGAAGCACCAGTCCATTCCTCTGGTGTTCGCTCTTCCAAGGAAGATGGTACCAGCCGAGTGAACGCATCTTCCAACCTACCTGTTCTGCTCAGGTTGGTCCTTATTTTCGCCGCATGTTGTTCGGCTAAAACGAATCCTTTACTTTTGTACAGCTTGCCGTACAGATCTCTAAAGAAAAGGATTGGCTCGTTCTTTTCCGTCATTATGGAAGTCAGTATAGGTTAACACCAGTGATTGAACTCCCATCCCTGTGCTCGTTAAATGACTGAGCGGCGTTCCACGGGTCGCATTTGTAGGGTGGCTGGATGAGAACGAGCCATGTAGGAGAGGGTGCAACATCTAAATATTTCTGATCCTTCAGACGTCTGGGAACGACTATGACATTCCGAATTATCCTAAACTTTCCGGAGCTCCATTGTTTTCATGTGCATTATTGGCCAACGCGCCCGCGCTAGGCAGCTGAGCACGCGGTTGACGTGTTCGCCCCGTTCCTCCTAATCGAGCTCCCCTGCTTTTTAGGTGCATGATCGTTTTCTTGTGAGCTTGCTCAACGTAATCGGATTAGATACGATCGATATGCTCACCTCAGTTTTAGTCGTGGCGTTTTCAGTAACTCGTTGATGGGGCTACTTGTGGCTGCAAGATTACAGGTCCTCAGCCGGATGATTTTTCCACTGCTGGCTCATGCCGCCCAAACTCTCTCACTTTATACGCTGTTTTGCGTTCTCCACACCTGTACATATTTCCAGTCTCTAAGTATTCTTAACTGTTAGTCATTCTGTCATGGGTTCTCCAAACCAAAACGAGATTTCCAACACCTTTCCATTGTAGATCCCCTTCCTCCTCGGAATTGCACTGCTCAACAACGAAAGGTTGTGATATTGCATTCGCAGAAAACTATTTAGGTGACTCTGATCGAGGCGTCGCTCATTCACCTACAGAAGCGTTCTTTCCCACGCTACCAAATCATCATTCGGATGCGTCTAAACGCCTCACTGACCTCGAGCTTAATCTTATCGAAGAACAGCCTCTTTCTTCGCCCACATGGAACAAATATGGTAATAGCCCTTTCGGCGAACTTTTGGCCGATGGACAGTTAGTGGAAGAGCTTTTCTCTGATCCGGTAAAGTACTACTTGCCACTGTCTATTGCATCCATCCATAGTGTTTGCACTACCATTTCAGTTGCTTAGGAATAGACTCCTCTATTCAGCAATTCACTCCTTATTAGCAGCAATTCTTTGTGCCGGTTGTAAATTGTGCTATGAGCAGATCTGGACTCTGTGTCTCGCTCACTTACTGATTTCTCACTTGGCCACTTTATTTTATCTGACTCCTCCAAAGCTACTCTTGAACATCGTTTATTCGGATTTCTTCTCTTTTCTAGACTTCCACCAAATTGCTTCCGTTCAAGGTTATCCCACATGGTCGAACACCGGGGACAACAGATAATTCGCTGCACTTTCCACAGCATTCAACATTGGGAGTATCTCAAAAACGCAAAAGTACTGCACCGTACTTTTTTACGATTTGAACAAACAGGAGTACTGTCTTTGTGCTTTTCTCTCGTTCGCTCGGATTGTTTTGCGGTTTTCAGACAGCATTTGGCGTCTTTTACCTATAGTTGTGACTTTATCGATGCGTTTTCGAGCACCCCATCTTTGACGAATCTCTCCAGCGTTATCGATGCAGACATATTGTATCGTTCCCCTTTGAAACAAACAAACGACTGCTTCGTTAGGGTTATTCACGGGCAGAGTGACTGAACGGAATTAAGATCAAATACAATACACTCTTCCTAATCGCTGAGCGAACAGGTGGATAAGACAGCCACTCACGGCAGTGAACCTCACAACCACTGTGCGAACAAGAGGGAGACCAACTGAGCCTTAATGAGAGCGAATACAAGGTCGTGCATACTCGAATTTGTAACACACTTAATTCATCACGCAGACTAAGGGTCTCCAAACTACGGCCCGTGAGCCGGAACTGACCCGCTACGTCCGTTCATCCGCTCCGCCGACGTACCCGAATCAACCTATTAAAGCGTATAGAACACAAGACCTTATGGTGCAGTTTGCATTTGACACTACATATCGTGTTGTCCGTGATTTTATGCTTTTTGAACATTAGCGTAAACCAGCTAGCTCATGATTGTTACATGTGACATCTTACTATTGGTTACCCCATATCGTTGGAACATTGATGCGAGTGATCATGCGTGAAACCCATTCATCCGCGGATTCCGAGTGTCGCGTTTTCTTTGTATTTTTTCTGGAGGTTTTCATTCTGGCTTGTAAGCATTGTGCGTAATTATTATGTGCCCCACACCAATCAATTTGTCAGTTATCCTGTCCGTGTAAGTCTCTTTCCAGTTATCCGGCCTGCTGTGAGAAGGTTTGATGACCCATGACGTCTGGTATGAGGTAGGCTGATTGAGATGCGCGTTGAAACCTGCTCCGTTGGAGTGTAGACGCCGCGAGGGAGTAGTATTGAGGGTACACATGACTCTCTCGTGACGGGATCCAGACAACTAACATAGTCAGGTGTCCATACGGTGAATAACACCACATCATTGCGTATAGTCCATGTTTATTATGGATGTAGAACTAAAGACGGCAACAAAAGCATGAGATGAATCACTGGATTGGTTAATCCTGATTCGTGGTCAACGAACAGAGCTCCCGGTCCACGTCGAACCGTTTGGAAGCTATACGTGACGGACAATTCACAGTCAAACTCTGCTCTGATTTGTTCCGTGCTAATCGCTTGTACTTGGCGGCGCATCCTAGTGACTAAGCAATAAATCACCGAGCTACATCATGCGCTCTTGCAATAGCCCCTGTATCTACTGTACATGTTAAGCCTCTTCATCCACGCATTGGCTGTGGTATCAATTCAACGTACTGAGTCAACTTACTCGCAGGCCAAACAAGCCGGTGGCATGCATGAGTGTTAGTTCATCTTGATATGGTTTGCAGCATCCGGTTTCGGATTTGCCTGTCACTGTGGCCAGCCATAAGACGCCTGCGCCTACAGAGGGATCATGCGTGCTTTGCACTGCACCACCCACAGCTCCAACCACGCACCCCATATCCAGTGTAAACCCGAAGGAATAAGGCCGGGAGGCATGTGGATGGGAGTCATGTTTCATCAACGGACCCGGCCCACACTCCTTCACAGGCAAACACAAGCACACTGTAGTTGGGGAATCAAGCGCACACAAGGTGGTGGCTGGACCGTAGTCCGCTCCACACTGAGTGCATGGAACCACTACTTGAGCCTAGCACGACCACAAGAACCGTGCACCCCGTCCCCTCCAGAAACGACCAACTGTCTCCTGGAGCCAGTATGAACGAGGTAGTCGGTAATAGACAGGTAGGCACTTTGACAACATGCACATCAAGCGCAGCCACACCGGGGATATCAAGCAACAGGCACTCACTTGAGACGACGAGATCAAATAAAATAAATCGAATAGTGCTTACAGATACGGTGACATAACTCTTCACTAAATGTGCATATAAAATAAATAGCTTTCCGCTATGGGTTCAAGACGTCAGAAAATATATTTTAAGAAATTGCCCTCAAACGCGAAAATTTTATCGAAGTTAACTAAAGTAGTTTAAGGAACGTGTGCAACTTTATAGAAGACAGTTCAAGTAGACATTAATATGAGATGACAGAAGTGTTAGGACAATCTAGCAGACCCGCCACCTGAAATAAAGAGACTCAGCATGCAAGCACGCGGTTAGCAAATCGAATGCAGCGTACCTACAAACACTGCGCCGGTTCTGCATACGTTCTCAGCCAGACTCCTCGTCGTTTCGGTGTTGGTCCCGAGTGGCCTCGCTCATGGCTCACTAGGCCTGCCTAACTCAGGCACTAGCGACCGCATGTGTTGCAGCACCATGCGTCCACGGAGGACAACCCATCGGCACCTGTCGCTTCCACAAATGCCGCTTCTTCTCTGCATACACTAGAAATTGCTCTTGCACCTTGGCAACGGCCTTCGTGATCAGATTGCGCCATGCACGCCGATCAACCGCTTTCGATTCCCATGATCTGCAATCAAGAGTAGAACGTGAGAGGCTCACTTTGATCATGTCCTGGTAACGTAACTTTGATTTCCCCACATGCCGCTTCCCAATACTCAGCTGACCATATTAGAGTTGTTTGGGCATCCTCGTCGAGCCACCTCAGGTGTCTCAGCAAAAGTATGCAGCCCACTGCATACATTCCACTTCGGCGCAACACTTCTTGTACACAACTGTCGCATCAACCGATGGGCAGAATCCGTCGCAAACACTTGCTGGAACTGCTCGAGATATTGCACATCCCGACAGTACATCATCCACGTTTCACTACCGTATGGAAGAACGGCCAGCACCATGGATTTGAACACCACCAGCTTCGTGCCAATGGTAAGCTGATGGTTGTTCCACACTCTATACTGTAGCTCCTCGCATGTCGCCGCTGCCTTCGAGACGCGGATACGAAACTCACTGTGAAGCTGCTGGTCAGTCGACATCACACTCCCAACGTAGCAGAAGCGGGAGGTGGTTTCTAATACTTCAGCACCAATGCTGATTCGCGGCAATATTGAAGATTGCGCCTCCGGTGAAGGCTGAAAGAGACAGACAGTTTTGCTTGTGCTGATGGTGAGCCCGAATTTGGCCGCTGTCAAAGCCAGAGCACTAGTCATGTGCTGCAACTCATCCGCGCTGTGTGCAAACAATACACAGTCGTCACCAAGATACGGATAGTTGTCTCACAGACTAGCATTCTCGCTTCGAAAGAACGGATGTTCAGCAACCCACCATCAATACAGTGCTCCACACGAACACCGTAAGCACAAGCCGCATCAAAAACAAATGAGACGTAGATAAAGCTTAAATAGCGCAGGAGCTAAGATACACCCTTGCTTCACACCGGAGACAACTGCAAAGTCATCCGAGGTCTCCACTCAGCTGCACCCTCGCCCGCATACCACTGCGCGGCATTCAATTAAACTTACAAATTTACGCGGGCAACTAAACTTACCCAATACCAGCCACAATGCCTCGCGGTTCACCGTATCAAATGCCTTGGTGAAATCAACAAAAGCGAGTACAAGGCTGGTGTCGTTCTCTGCAACTGACGAGCCGCAAACACCATATCTATAGTGCTGCGACCCGAACGGAATCCACACTGCTCTTCCGCCACGTTTGGTTCCACAACCTGACTGACGAGGCGGTTGAGCAGGATTCGGGCAATCACCTTGCCCACACAACTCAGCAAGTTGATGCCACGATAATTCGTGCAACATTGCTTGCTCCCTTTGTCCTTGTACAGTGGTAGCACAAGGGCATCCTTCAGCTCAGGAGGCACCTCCTCCTCAATCCATACACGTTGCACCAAGTGGTGCAGCGCAGTCACCAACGCAGGTCCGCCATGTTTCAATACCTCAAGCGGGATCCCGTCGACACCGGCACACTTGCCGTTTCGCAGCTGAGCAAGTGCTCTCTGCGTCTCATCCAGTGTCGGCGCGTCCGCCAGACTCGCCTTCACGTCTTGCTGTTTCAGGCCGTTCAAAGTAGGGCAGTGGATCTCTGAACGGTTGTTCAAGAGACAGTCAAAATATTTTTTGCCAGATTTGCATTATGTCTACACTTTATGTGCAGGTAGTGTCTGAACTGTCATCGATCAGCGTTCTCACCGGCTACAACCTCGGTCCATACACCGCCTTCAAGGAGTCAAAGAATTCCTTGTGTTGGCGCCATTCGGCGTAGCATTCCATCTGCTTCGCCTTCTCCGTCTACCATGCATTTTTTATGCGACGGATCTCTCGGGTCAGTCGCCGTCGAAGTTTGCGAAACTGACTATTCTTCCCCAAGTTACTGGGGTCTGCGATATATGCAGCAAATGCTGCATTCTCCCCCGACACCAATGCGGCAATCGTCGCATTGTTCTCATCAAACCAATCAGGTCACTTACCGTTTGCGCGCCCAATGGTCCCCTCAGCAGCAGCTGTCACGTGGTCGCGAGTGTGGTGCTACAGGTCGCCCACTGTGGCTACGCAGTCCATATCACACAGGCGTACAGCCATCGCCTCCTCCAGCTCTATACGTTTCTCCACAGTACCGAGGGAGAGAATGTTAACTTTACGCCGATTCATGACGGGAGTGCAATGCATAGATTTACGAAAATATATGTACAGTTCGGTCCGCACCAATGTGTGATCAGTGTCACACTCAGCTCCACGCAGTACACGTGTCATGCGCACTTCACGCATATCACGCTGACGTGCGATGACATAGTCGAGCAAGTGAGTGTGACCACTTCGGGGGTGCGTCCAAGTTGCTATATCACTCGCACTCAGTGCAAACCGAGTGTTCGTGATCGTCACGCTGTGAGTGGCACACAGTGAGAGCAGCCTGTCAGCGTTCGCATTCGCTGAACCAATGCCATGCAAACCGATAACATCTGTCCACACCGATGCATCACGCCCAACGCGCGCGTTGAA